TGCAGGCTTCGGTGCTTCGCCGCAGCAACGTCTCCGTGTAGGCCAATGGCGGCCTCGCTAGAGCACCACGTGATTTAAATGTCCAGTAGAAACGCTTGAACAGGCGCCAAAGCGTGCCTTTTTTTATTATTTTGGGCCAAAATGCGAAACTGAGGGAGGTGCTGTAGGCTAAACGAAGGCTTACTCAACCTCTCCAAGCAAACAGCAATGGCGGGAGACGCCGCATTCTCGAGATGGAGACGATCGAAAGTTGCTGATTTGCGACGAAACTAGCACTTTCTCGAGCCACCGTGGCTGAATAAAATAGAATTTTTACTAACTTCTCGTTCGAATTTCGCCTTGATCTTTTGCGGAGTTGCAGCTGAATAAACAAAGATAATTTTACAGGTAAAATCTCAAAACTGAAAAATTCCGCGAAAAACGCGATTTTTCGACGCGCATCTCCCCTTAAGCAAAGTTCAATCTCATTGCGTAATGGTTGCCATGACCAGGTAGTTCATATTATTTTTGTGCAACTTAGTGAGCTTTACAGCATTGGAAGGTTCGGCATCTGCAAGTGTATTTGGAGAATAGGAGAATCATTGTGGAATAAAACTGACAGCGATACATGCGACTTGTTGCACAAAGCAGAAGCGAAGTTGTTATCATGCTGCTCAGGTTCACTCTGGTTAATGTCTTAATGAAAATTATCATGCATGTATATCATTGAATGGAGATTTGAAAATTGTGTACAGATTTCAGTTATCTGCTTTAGAAAGTGATAATTTTTCATTGTAAGTACCATATTTACTCATGTAATGAACACACTTTTTTTTTTCGAAAAATCTGAGCAATTTTTGGGGGAAGGGGTGCGTTTATTACGTGGAGTAAATTTCATAGTGTTTCTGGAGGAGCAAAAAAACGTGGTAATGCGAGGAAAGTTCGATCGCTTAGCTTTTCGCAATTACCATACGCTTACACTGTTTGGAAATACCGTATTTACTTGTGTAATGAATGCACTTTTTTAATGGGAACAAAGTAGGGGGGTTGCATTTATTACGCAGGATAAATTTTATGAAAACTTTTTGGGAGGCGTAAAAAGTGCGGTAATGTTCAAAAAAGTTAGGTTGCTTAGCTTTTCGCTATTGACATACGCGTACATTGTTTGGAAACTGCTTCTTTGTGGCACTTTACTCATCTTCTGCAAGTTGTCTCCTGGCCGCCCGCGCACACTATAAAAGAGCTTGGCAGCTATCGCTTCTCGGAATCATTTAACCACAATGTCTGCTGTGATCTTGAGTGGCACCCAAAAGCGTGCGCTACAATGCACTTTGCCAACTTTGCGGCAACCTCGCACAACTGTGACGACACGATTAATATTTTAGCAAGTAACCAGCATCGCATCAACCTGCCCCTGAAAGATCAAGACACTTTCAATAAGAAGAAAAAATATGGCCGCCGCCTCGCTTCTACATGAGAAGTTCCTCTATGTGCGGATAAGGATAACAAACGATGCGAGAATCGGGGGTGCTATCATGTTGCGGAAATCGTGATCTTTTCGGGACGACAAGCTATTTTTTCTGGTTTTTCAGAAACCTATGACGCTATAGCGACGAATGACCCTTCGCGACAGCAAATCCTGTCCTCGTCGCTCGAAAATCACTTGGTCGGGCATTTGAAACTGCCCTTGTTGATTAGCACGAGCAGTTTCGGGACTTTCGCTGGCTGTGTTATCAGCTGCGTTAGCTAATACCCCCCCTGTGGTGCACAGATAAGAAGGGGGACATGCTGTGCACAGATGGAAAAACGATCCATCGTTTTTCGTGGATCGTGGTGGGGGGGGGGGGGGTAGCTAACTGAGGTGTGTCGGCAAAATAATAAATGGAAAAGATGCAACGGGTGAGAAGGTGTCAGTTAGCGGGACTGCAACAAATGATTGTGGGGGGTGCGTGTATTGCATTGGGGAAAACATTGAAATTTTGATGACTGAAGTTGGGGGTGCTTTCATTATGCGAGTAAATACAAGAGGCAATTTCTTACGGGTGTTGTGACTGTAATTTACAGCATAAAAAGTTAGTTTTCAAGACTACGTAGTTCTTGAAGGGAGATTCAGGTCGAAAACACTCTTTTTTTTTTATTATCTATCTTTAATTTTCGCCTGTTTTGATGAGATTAGTACATCTACTATTATAACAAAAAAATACAGGTCGAGATTTAACTGGAAATGCTTTCAAATTCCATCTAAATAGCACAAGGTGCCTGTTAAAAGGTCCAAAGTGTGCAGTCTTCAAGCATCTTGTCGCCGTAATTATCTCCATTATGAATAAAAAAAGCCATTGTTCGCAAGTGAAAGCAGTTTTGCGGCGCGCTTTGTAGGAATAGGCTATCGGCAGCTGGTCCGATTTGCGGCAGTTGTTGGCCTGCAAAAGCCAATGCACCAAAAGTCATTCACACCCGTCAACGCCAATATTGCGAGGTCGAAAGAGCTCGCAGTGAGGGAACTTAGCGGGGACGACATTGCCATTATGTATGACAGTATGTGGCACAAACATGGCCACAAATTGGCATGACACTGGACTTAGCACAAACATGGCCGCAAATTGGCATGACACTGGACTTAGTTTGAATTTTGCAGTCCTGTCGAACTTCTTCTTAGCTTGCAGTTGGCACAGCTCTGCCAGATGGAGCGGAAGTTTGGCAAGCGTTTCCTGGCCCTGTTCGTGAGCGAAATGTCCTTAAGGAGTCTGCTCGAAAAAGCCGAGAGGGACGAACTCGGGGTGCTAGCATATTTAAGTGGCAGTGGCCACTACAAGGATTGTTTTTTTGTGTGTGTGCAAGTTTCATCGGATTTAGTGATATCTTTCATAAATAAAAACTCAATGTTAACATAAAAACGCGTTTTTCTCAAAACAAAAATTTTGCCAGTTTTTTCAATGTGCCCCTCCTTTTTCTGGCACTTCTAGTGCTCGGATTTGCATGAAATTTTGCCCAATTCTTCTCCCATGTATGACAAATACAATTATCTAATTTAAACTTTAATATTTTACTGTATAATAAAAAATTGTTTGTAAACCTTTTCTAGGGTAGGTGATATATGAACTTTTTATGTCTTATATTTTTCATGCCTATACATAATTTCTATGTGCTTCCTAATTAGTTATTTGCATTCTACACTCTGTTTAAAACACTACGAACTATGAATGGTAAAAAAATTACGGAAGTTTATAGATGAAGGGGGGGAGGGTTAAGGTTTTCACTTTGTCATGTTGCAGAGCTAAAAGCATGCAACTTGCAAGAAAACTAATTGTATATTTGAAATCAGCATAAAAAGTTCCATAGACAGCTCATTTCATTGCTCTAGGGTGAACATTAAAAAGTGTCTTCGAGTAGCATCTCCCCTTAATGGGTCAACCCACAAGAGGGGGAATGTCTTTTAGTCTGTTTTCAACTTGAAAGCAGTTCTGTAGCTTTTGTAACGCTTCATAGCATAACCACAGAACGGACACAACGTATGCTACACTAGCACGCTGCAGCACGTACTTGCCACTTTGGCTTAGCTTAGTTCTGTAGCTTTTGTAACGCTTCATAGCATAACCACAGAACGGACACAACGTATGCTACACTAGCACGCTGCAACACGTACTTGCCACTTTGGCTTAGCTTAGATTGGACCGGAGGCTCTGTGCATTGATTGTACGCAAAAAATATATTTGGGACCAGTGCACAGAGCCCACCATATTTTGATTGCAATGCTCAGAAAGTGTGATATGTAAGAGTAAATTCATATATTTGAAATTGCATAGCATTATGTTCTTTCTAGATTCCTGCTAGTGTATTTGGAGCTGCTTTCATTCATTCATTGTCCTTTCATTCACTTCCCGTTTGCCCTATTGGTCAGCATACTGTGGGGAGCATTGTATGACAGGAGTTAGTTGTGTGGTTTTCAAATCGGGACTGCTTGCTAGCTTGTGCAATCACTGATGCTGCTTTTGAACACGATTCTTAGGCACATGCACCTTGCAGCCAGCTGCTAGGCGTGGTGTTGATGTTTATTTGGCATGCTTTTAATGGTTATTAGTCACTAATGATATTTTTAATGCTTTCTTGGACCTGAACTTGTGTAAGTAGCAAATGATTGTACCACAACACAATTGTTGAAACAACCTAATGCTAATGATTTGCAAGTGTCCAAAGACCCTTCAACACACAGGCTCCACTCAAGTGTGGCTTAGCATTGAAATGGCATGCCTTTGCAAAGTTATTTGTAGAATTCGACCTACTTCTTAGTAGCACTACGACCCTACAAGTGGCTTAAAAGCACGAAGTTTTATACCATGTGCTTAGAACTAATATCACGTGACAGGACAATATTTACCAACTGCAAATAACTAAATAATCTTATCATTTGCTCAGCACATAATGGCGGCAATATTAAATTGAATACGCAGCTCACTAACAGTCTTTTTGTAATAACTGATAGTTTCGTTTAATAATTTTGATTCTGTAGTTCCATACACAGTTGTGGATCATGAAGCTGGAATCTCGGGACCTAAGTGAGCAGAACCTGGCAAAACTGCAAATGGGCTGCTGAGGCTCGTATCCCGACACTGTCACTTTGTAGTACATCTGAAGCAGTGCCTGTAAGCAACTGCTAAAGAATGACTTGCACTACAGAAAAGAAAATTATGCGACCTAAACAGTTCCTAGAAAGTACTAACTGTTAATTCATATCAGAGGCACTAGTATTTTTCATCTAGTTTTGCAAACTGTGAAGTGAGACATTACGTACTGATTCCTAGTTTGACCACAAAGCTATAGTAGTATGCTCTTAAACATTTTTGCAGAGAATGGTCAGTCAGTTAGTTTTGATAGACCTTTGGCTTCGAATTTCGGACCTGAACAACATGTTGCAGGCCAGATGTAAACAAGGCACTTAGTTGGCATGGTTTCCTGCCACTTGTTGGAATGCGCAAAGAAGTGTGAAGCGGCATAACAGTCTCGGTGTCTGTCGTTGCTTGCAGGTGGTCCCCGATCAGACTATGCCTCCTATGACAGCTATGGTGGCGCAGCATATGGCCAATCTCGGGATAGCTATGGAGGGGCAGGCCACTATTAACAGCGCAGCAAGCTGCTGTCCCTTTTTTTTTTTTTCCTCTCGAGAGCAGGCATAGAAGAGCGGCAGAGACATTTTTTCATAAATGAAAGCCTCCACCATGCCCACCACCATCCATCTTCAATATACCATCAATGCCTTGCTTGAAGAAATTTCTAGGCGCAGGCACGCTGCTACATTTCTCCTTCCCAACACCATTATATACACCTAGTGTTTTGTAATTACTCTTCATTTCTCATTTTTTTTTTCTAAACATTAGCCAGGTGGCTTGGAAGGCCACATTGCACTGTTAGACACATCATAATTTTATTTTTCATCTTTACCCATGGAGCCTGGCATTGTCTTCTGAACTTGATGTTAGTGAGCGCTCGTATCGTGAAACAAGCACATGCTACTGATTGTATGTACTCAAAATGGTCCAGGCGGATCAAGTGAAATAAAATGTTGAGTGGAACCCCCTAGCTGCTGCCAAGTTTGATTACTGAGGTGCTTAGTGTGCAGCACTAGCCCTTGTGGGAAGCATAATCAACTTCTCCAGCCACACTGTTATGAAGAAATGTAGTGTCATGCACCTGTCTGATGCTGCCTGAGACATGTCCCTGTGTGCTGAAGCTTTCGCTTTGAGAACTGCATCTGTTAAGCTGCCCTGGTAAGCTTACAGCTAAAGCTGGAGAGCATCGTACTTATGCCAGTGGTAAAATAGCTTTGATCGTATTACCTCATGTGTAGTTCTGTTTAAATTTAGGTGAAATCATTACCATTGCATTCTGCATTATGAAGTATGCCAGAATTTTGCCTCTCTAGTGCATCCCATGTGTAGTAAGCACTACAGGATTTATGGCTCTTGTGAAAGTTTTTGTGCAAAGGGATGGCACAGTGTTAGTTTGTTGGTGTTGTTAGATTAAACCCACATTGCAGGGACATTCCAAGGCTCATGGAAACAACAAAGTAGTTGTACAAATCGTTGGGGAATCTCACCACATTTTACTAATGAAGCACTGAGATACACAAAGCAGTAGCCGCAAACAGCACTGCTATCGCAATCGAAAGTTTGTCCTGAGGCATCTTTGGTGTGTCTGTTATCCAGAAGCATTAAATCTTTGAGCATCAATATGTTGAAATATGTTCAAAGAACAGCACATTGTGGGTCTCAAGGAAATCTGGCTAAAGGAAATCTGTTTATTAGCTTGTTATAAGCTCATAGTTCCGACCGCTGCTTCATCAGTGAAAATGCAGCACTAGTTAACTTTTGTAGCTTATCACTGTTTCTTGCTCTAGAATCTCAAGTGCAGTACAAATACATTACAGCATTACTTGTTTTTATAGGATGGGATATAGTTCCCAATGTACTGCTGTGTAGGTGTAGCAGCACGTGAGGCCACTTGTTAATAATGGCAGTGCCTTTCAACTCTCTGGTCTTTTATAGTTCTCACTAAGGTTACTTTTTCAGACTTGCTTAATCGAAAGTCCTATTAAAATTGCTGAAGTGCACTTCGGAATTTACATAGTGTAATCTGTAAAAATGTATGTAAAGGCACACAACTTTATCTGTAGCCAAGATCATAGAAGTGTAGTGCTGTCCAAATAAGTTCCAGTAGGCATTGCACTTGAACTCTAACCTTGTAAATGCTCCCAACTGCTACCGTGCCAATCTTTAAAAGTCCCATTAAGCCTGGATCTGTTTGGTTAAAAGTACTATGTAAAGAATTTTGCTTGCATTGTATGTTTGTTGGCTGCGACTACTGTAAGCTCTAATTAGTGCTACTCATTGGCACATATAATTTGCTTCTATTAGTAGAGCTTTTCCAGGATTTTCATTGTGGATATGCTTGCAAGGCCATTTTCTTAAATCCTTCACAGCCTTCGCAAGTTCGTCATTCTATGGAGCGGGCACAGCACCTGTGGCTCCACAGCTTTACGGCCAAGTATTTCACACTACCGTGGCATAATCTCGTAGATTAAAGCACCTCAGCCAATGTTGCTGTACAGAAAGAAGCCTCATGCACCATTTTACTCTTCATTTATCGTGCCTTAAGTGTTTATAAAAAGTTATAGTACTACGCATGACTGTGTGTCTTGTCTTAGTAATGCTTAATTGTCAGGTGCAGGGAGTGTGCTCTGCCTATTGCACTTGCTCAATATAATTCAGTGACTGCAGCCGTTCACCTTCAAAGGTTTTCAAGAACCTCTTGCCTGTCAGAATACAAAGAACAAGTAGAACGTGCCTGTGCTTCTGCACATACTTAACATGTTGGTATCACTATTGCAGGAAAGCTGCAAAACTTGAAGGTTTTATCAGTTTGTTACAACACCTGTTGTAGGCGATGCATATGAATACCATCATAAGCTAGCTCTTACCAGTGTTCCTATTCTGTAGGGTTGATTTGCATTAAATGTCTGTGGAACCAGACTGTTTATGAGTGTCTTACGGTGCAGGTAGGTTAATAATGCAGACACATCTGTGTATCCTACTAGACTTAAGCTTCCTCCACCATAGTGCAAACCTCTGCGGAAGCAAACGTGCCATGCTGATATCAAAACTGGCCTGCTTCTATACCCATTCGTTTGCTGGTGCTGAAGTACAGCGAAGCATTGCACGTGAACACTAGACCACAAAGCTCGGTTCCGCGATGCTGAAATCAATTGCGTCCAAGGATGATAGTACCACAGGTGGGTTAACAAAAGTTTCATTACATTGCCTATGTCTTTTATGCTGTCCAACAGCCGAATTACACCGAGGGGGAAAAAGGTTCACGTGAAACCTTTGATGCCAATATAGGGTGAAATGCCCACATACTCGTGCGTGCTACAATGAACTGCAGGTTCTCTTAAGCCAGAGTGCTCCACTGAGGTTGTGGTTGTGGTTCTAGCATGAAAAAGCGCGGAATTTCAATGTAAATACGATTGTAGTTTCTTGTGAAACTTCAAGTAATTAGTGAAAGCTATTGCCGCAGCCTATGGCATTAAGAAATGGCTTATCGAACATTTTGCCAGTCGCATGTTACTTGATTACACATTTGAAAACTTGCACGTTCAGCTGGGAAGCTATGACTTCATGCCTGGCAGCTTCTCATAACTATACACTCTCGAGTTAGTGTGCAGGGCTTGAAGAATTCATTTAACATCAAAAGCGACTTCACCTAATATGCAGAAATTGCTTGTTTAAAAGCAACGTCGTGCCTCATCGTGGTAACCTAAAAAGCAATTTTTCTGTTCTGTAGCTTTTAACAATACCCTTTGTTTTTTCAGGTTGAGACACCTTTCCTGTGAAGGAGGGAGCATCAACTTTCAGGTTAGTGTTGGCTTATTCAGACAGTTGCCTGATGCCTATGCTGCTATTAGTTGGACCACCATTCTCAACTTGAGAAACACGGGAAAAAAAATGAGGGATCTGTGGCATGCCAAAATGAGGGATCTGTGGGATGCCGAGTTGTGGCTATCACAGCTCAGTGCTAAGCAGGTGGTCACAGATCCAATATTATGTTAGTGTGTGGCAAAATGTAGAGGCACCTGCGTGCATTTAACCTTGGGTGGGAGTGCCGTAGTGTCATGGCTTTTGCGTCTAAAGCTTTTATGTTTTTAGGAAACAAGGGTTTGGAGTGCTGTCACCAGTGTAACAGGTGGTAGCACTCCAAACCTCTTATTTACACTATAATGCTACTGAACTCATTTTGTGGAAATTTGTGTGTCGGCATCGTTGGTCGTGAGAGAAAAATTGTGCGTATGACTGAAAAATCAACTAAAGTTCATATAACTGATAAAAATACCATATATACACGCATAATTTGCCCCCTCTCATTATTCGCACACCCCTAATATTGTGCCAGCTTTTCGGGAAAAAAAATATTTACTCTTGTATTTCGCGCTCGCCAGCGCGCACCTTTGGACCTTTCCAAGCATGTTTCAGTGCTTCGGCTGGGTGCGCGCCTCGCCAGGCAGACGAGCACAATCAGGCTGCGAGTGCGAAGTCCAGTCTTCTGAGGATCTTCCAAGAACTAGGAACACAAACCTGTTGATGGGTCACCGGAACTGCTCGAGCGTTTATCTCCACCCTCTCCTAATCTCTACCAAGGATCAAGGCACGGACGGCTTTCTGCATCAGGAGGCGTGTGAGGGCCTGTCGCACCAACTGTTCTCCTCGGTCTCTGCGTCCACTCTACAATGCACGCTTGCTCGATTTCGGAAGTTTACGTTTCACCATCCGGCCGACGCGTTTTGACGGTTCCTTTGCGATGTGGTACAGATATTATACATACGGCGAAATTGAAGCTCGCTATTGTAAATTTTGCCGAAGAAAACGGGAAGTGTGCCGCCACGAAGCACTTCAAAGGGACGTACTTCAATGTGACGACCGGCGTGATCAGAACGCGAGAAAACAGAAGAATGTACGCTAACTAATGAATGTTTCCTGCCATTGAAGGAGGCCTTTTCAATTATGTATGGATTCTTAGTTTTCCCGATATCGCCGTGTCGTGGGACCTAGTATCTCCTAGCAGTGCCAAAAGAGCTTTACTAAAATTTGCAGATCTCGCATACAGTGGGAATCAATGATATGCGAAGCATTAGAAATGTTTGTCACTTTAAAATCAGCACAACATTATGAAATGGAGGTAAATGATTTCATACATGATTTCTGTATCATGATTATCACATTTAGATGTGTTGTTTACCTTCATCTATTCACGTCGCGTGATACCAAATTTAGTATATGTGGGGCTAGCCCAACGACCGTGAGCACACTATGAGCGTGGTATGTTGTCATGTTCTTACACAACACGCGTGTCAGGATTGTCATGTTTTCACCAGTCATATATTTCGTCATCCAACGACGTCACGTAACACCAATTTCGCACATGGGGAGCTAGAAAAACGGCCGCGAGCGCATCATGAAGGGCCCAATATACTCCAATGTAGCGTTGACACACGCGCACGCTAGGCCACTACGTTACCAAAACGCGGGCACTCTATAGTCCGGCGCCAGACGCAACCAGCATCCGTCGACACGGCCCAACGGCAAACCGGCGCGAAATGCGTCATGTTGCATTTCGCGCTATAAAGTAACATTACTTTATGCGATACGTTATCAAGACAACACTGCGTCTCCCTCTTTTCGTAATGGAGGGACGCCGGACGCGCTGAAACGCACATGCGTCAAAGCAACACAGCGCGTCTGCGAGTATATGGCAGGACCGGCACCTGGCGTGGCAACGCCGGCGTGATGTGACGAAATGAACGCCAGCGAGCACGAGTAATGTCCAAATGTATCGGCGCCTTGACTGTGGCATGTAGTCATCTTCTCGCATGACACGCATCTCATGATTCTTATGTTTGCACCAGTCACATACCTTCGGCATTCATTGGTGTGACGAAATGCCAAATTTGGCATATGTGGAGCTAGCGAAACGGCAACACTGCGTCTCCCTCTTTTCGTAATGGAGGGACGCCGGATGCACTGAAACGC